AGTTTAACTGCAGAAAGCAAGCCCTCAGGGTCATCTGTAATCTGTATTTAGAGTAGGCCCTAGAAAAATCTCCATATGTTAATTATAAATTGAGACCAGGCGCATTCCTCCAACTCAGAAAGAATACAAGTAACAAACAGATAATGGTTGCCATTAAGAGTCTTTCCCACTGTAAGGTCCGCTCCTGGATGGTGAGCAGACTCCACCCTCCTCGCAGCAAAGTCTCCACCCAGTACCTGCGTTACCTAGGCAACTGGGACACCTGGAAGAGGTCACATCTGCATCCGCTGAGGTCACATCTGAATTTGATGTGGCCACACCTTTCTCCGCCCATACCCTACATAAGGCCTAGCCCAGGCCCAGAAGCTCTCTTTTTTTCTCTCTCTGTTCGTTCCTAGCTCTTGCTCTTGCTCTTCTTTTCTAGCTCTGTCTGCTCTCTCTCTGCTCTAGCTCTTTCCTCTCTCTTTCCCAGCCACGTGGAGTGCCAACCTTGCCTGGTCCCAGCAGGTCTACTGAATAAACCTACCCCTTACCTGAATACCACGTGCGTGCTGGTGCTGTTCTTACTCGGCTACCTCCTTTTAAAAACCTAACATAAATGGTGCCGTGACTCGGATAAAGGCTGAAAGTCAGGATAGCTGGGATTTCTTTGTTTTTTTTCCTCTTTTTTCTCTTTTTGTTCTTCCCTTTTTGCTCTGAGGAATACCCACAGTTCTGACGGCCTTTTGCGAACTTGTCTGTCTGCGGCGGAATCAGCGCATCGATACCATTGCTGCCTTCACATTCACGTCCACACCACTTCTCTACTCTGGTGAGTGAAACTACTCTACGGCTCTCTGTCACTCAGTCTCTGTCCAGACGTGGCGCCACGCCAGAGAGCTCCTACGGCCTTTAGCTGAAAGGCCGGTCACCTCTGAAGCCGAGGACGCTTGGCTTTGGGGGCTTGGCCATTTCTCTCTAGAGGGCTCTGGGGGAAGTCGGGACGCCGCTTCTGCCTGGTCAGCTCTCCTTCACTCACCAGACTGACTCTCCTACTCATTTAATGGGGTGCTGCGAATCACACTAGAGAGGTGAAACCCCTTTGAAATGTCTCCTGCGCTCCCTGGAAAGCCAGAGAGCCTCATTTTTATGCCATTCTCAGAAGTACAGTTTTTGCTACTGCAATGGTAAATGATCAGAAGTCTGTTTACTTTCGGGCTCTCTTTGCTCTCTCTCTGCCATTCATGTCCAACTTTCCCTATCTCTCCCTTTCTCTTTTCTACATTTTGGCTTGTGCCCTGAAGAGTGCGACGCAGGCTGGGTCCCAGGGACCCCCCTCTAGGTTCCCTCTCAAAGGCTAGCCAATGTAGGCTTGATCTATTTGTTCAGGCTTTCTTTGCATTTTTTCAGAAATTCGCCATCTTGAGTTCACCATCTTGGCCACATGGTAGGTTAAGGGTTTGGCCCCATCTGACCCTTAACCTTCCACCAAGCTTACTACTCCATCCATCTATTCTAAGGTGCCTTGCTAACAAGTTGCTCTTTTCACAGGCCCTGGTAACTGAGGCCCAACCAGCTGATATGCTTTGTTAGCAAAGATGTCTAAACGTTGTCGAAATTTTAGGTTTTAAGTTTTGCCTTTTTTGTTTTGTGTTGTGTATTCTACTACTGACTATGTGGTTCTAAAATACTGGGTATATCTGTGCTAAAATTCTCATCACATCTAATGAGTTTCATCATTTCAGAATATTTGTTGGCAATTCTTGATAAGAACCAGGTAAGCTCTACTTATTCTACTTGATCTCCTTGTTGCCTTAATTGGAAATAATAAAGGGCTTTTGTGGCAAAGATTTCAGTTCAAAGCCAGCTCGGGCTAAAAAATCTCTAAGACTCCGCCTCCCAGCTGAACTCTGCAAGTGGTACTATAACTCAAAGTGGTTCAGTGCTAGCCTTGAGCAGAAGTGCTCAGGGACAGTGCCCAGGCCTTGAGTTCAAACCTCCTTAAATAATAGTGGTACTATAACTCAAAGTGGTTCAGTGCTAGCCTTGAGCAGAAGTGCTCAGGGACAGTACCTAGGCCTTGAGTTCAAATCTTGAATACCAACTGGGACAAGCCATCCCAGCAATGAGCACCTAGACTCAGCCAGTCTGGGGAACAAGGGAACATGGAGAAGAGTAAGAGGAGATAATGTCACATCAGCTACTTTGTGCCTGCCCTTTCAAAATTAACCAGAGCCGGGAGGTCAGTGGAAGTAAGAAGCCTACCCAGCCAATGTCTATACCTGTGTAGCTATTAACTGAACAGGAATTTATATTCTTGCCTTTGTCCCCTGACTTCTCTACCTAGTCGCCAGATGTCAGAAGTATCTAGGGACATTTCTACCAACATTTTCAGCCCCAAGTCCTTCCTCTTGCCATTTATTTGCTGTTTAGTATTTTTTTTTCCAGCCCCTCAATGCTCATGAGACTTCTCCAGACTTCACCTAAGGACTCACGCCACCAAGGGACAGCTGCTGCTCACTGCCTTCTCTGGGAGGGGACCAAATTCCAGCCTTTTACCCCCATTGTCGACGCCCCTTGTCAGCAGGAAGTAGCCAGAGAGAATCCTCGCCCTATTTCATGATTATTAAAAGGCTGGAATGTAAGGTCCGCTCCTGGATGGTGAGCAGACTCCACCCTCCTCGCAGCAAAGTCTCCACCCAGTACCTGCGTTACCTAGGCAACTGGGACACCTGGAAGAGGTCACATCTGCATCCGCTGAGGTCACATCTGAATTTGATGTGGCCACATCTTTCCCCGCCCATACCCTACATAAGGCCTAGCCCAGGCCCAGACTCTTTTTTTCTCACTCTGTTCTTTTCTAGCTCTCGCTCTTGCTCTTCTTTTCTAGCTCTCTCTGCTCTCTCTCTGCTCTAGCTCTTCCCTCTCTCTTTCCCAGCCACGTGGAGTGCCAACCTTGCCTGGTCCCAGCAGGTCTACTGAATAAACCTACCCCTTACCTGAATGCCACGTGCGTGCTGGTGCTGTTCTTACTCGATTACCTCTTTTTAAAAACCTAACACCCACTTCTTTGCATGAGAAGGTAGAACTTTCTCTCTTTCTCTCTACTTTAATCCTGTTAAACTAAAATAAATGCTGGCTAAAAATTTCGCCTTGTGTGACTCTACTGTGACTCTACACCACGGAATAAATTCTTCTCATGATTGGATCTCAAGATTTTGTGTGGCAAGTAAGAAGCTGTGGGAACCTCCTCCTCTCATCCATCCTCTGGTGACACGAGGACCTGAGTTCAAAACCCAGTACTGCCAGGCCCTGGTAGCTCATACCTGTCATCCTAGCTATTCAGGGGCTGAGATCTGAGGGTTGAGGCTCAAAGCCAATCTGGGGCAGGAAAGTCCTGAGACTCTTATCTCCAATGAACCACTAAAAAGCTGGAAATGGAGGTGTGAATCAAATAGTAGAGGGCCAACCTTGAAAGAACGTAGAAATGGGCCTAAGGCTGAAGTATGGTAGTTCATTAATTGATAGTTTTGGCCAATGATCAGAGAGGGAGAGGGTTGATTACAATATGGAACATTAGGCCCACTAATATTTCTTGTGTGTGTGAGTGTGTGTGCACAAGTGTGTGTAGACCAGTGCTGGGGCTAGAAATCCAGGCCTGGGAGTTGTCCCTGAGTTTTGTTTTGCTTTATTTTCCCCTCAAGACTAGCACTCTAGGGCTGGGAAGGTGGCTCAGTGGTAGAGCACTTGCCTTGCATGCCTGAGGCCCTGGGTTCGATTCCTCAGCACCACATAAGCAAAAAAGAAAAAAAAACGGAAGTGGCACTGTGGCTCAAGTGGTAGAGCGCTAGCCTTGAGCTGAAGAGCTGAGGGACAGCACCCAGGCCCAGAGTTCAGGCCCCACGACCGGACCAAAAAAAAAAGACTAGCACTCTAGTGCTTGAGCCACATCTTCATATCCAGCTTTTTGCTGGCTTGCTAAAGATAAGAATCTCAAGGCCTTTTCCTGCCCAAGGTGGTTTTAAACCTTGATCCTCAGATCTCAGCCTCAGTTAGCTAGGATGATAGGTGTGAACCACTAGCTTCTGGTTTATTTATCTTTTTTGTTGGTTGTAGGGCTTGAACTCTGGGCCTGGGCACTGTCCCTGAGCTCTTCAGCTCAAGCCAAGGGTTCTACCACTTGAGCCACAGCACCACTTCTGGTGTTCTGGTGGCTAATTGGAGGAAAGCTTCTCACAGGTTTTCCTGCCTGGGCTGGCTTTGAACCTCGATCCTCAGATCTCAGATCTCCTGAGTAGCTAGGATGGCTAGGCAGGTGTGAGCCACTGGTGCCTGGCTTATATCTTTTGTTAATCTCAATAAATAAACATTTTGCAATAATAACAAAAATATTAACGAACTATTTCACGTTGTTTGGGGACTAAGGACTTGAAATTCAGGTTTATTTATATACTTAGAGCACATGGCACCAATCAACAATTCCAGGTAATCCCATTTCAAAAACTCAACAGGTACACATGGGCGGAGAGCTCCTGACAGATAATTACCTGCACACAAGCCCTCCATTTCCCCAAATGGGTTTTTGTTGTTGTTTTTTTAAATGGGAGATTCTTTCTCTCTCTCTCTCTCTCTTTCTTTCTTTCTCCCTTTCTTCTTCTTTTTCTTTCTTCTCCTTTCTTTTTTTTCCCATTCTCTCTTTCCACTTCCCCAAATTATAATAGTTAAGCGCACCTGGCTAAGGTGGAGAAGGAGACGAGGGGCGTGGCTTGGTCAGTTAAACCCCCGCCCTGGAGCATGCCGGGAGTCGTAGTCAGGCTTCCCTGCCTCCGCTCCTCCCCCGCCCCTAGCTCCCTGGAGCATGCCGGGAGTCGTAGTCAGTAAACGGCAGCTCCCCCCCCCCCCCCCGCCCCCCCCCCACGGCGCCCGCTCGGGTGACTGACGGGAGTTGTAGGCTCACGGTGCCGCGCGGGCCTGCCGGGAGTTGTAGTCCGGCCCTGGGGCGGTGCGGGGGGAGGCGCTCGTTGTCAGTGGAGTGTGCGCGTCATGGCGGGCGGCGCGGGGCTCGAGTCGCCTTCCGCTTGGCCTCGGAAAGTTTCGGTTCGACCGGACGGGGGACCCGCGACCTCGTAAGTGTGGCGGACGGGGCCGGCGGGGCTCCGAGGCGTGCGGGGGTGTGCGGGCCGCTCGGGGGCGCGCCCCCTCAGGGCCCGGCGCGGACCGGGAGCGGTTTGCCCACCTGTTGCGCGGCCTGGCGGCGGCCCGGGCCCCGGGGCTCCCTGCGGGGCGGGGGGCCGGGCCCCGGGGCTCCCTGCGGGGCGGGGGGCCGGGCCCGGGGCTCCCTGCGGGGCGGGGGGCCGGGCCCCGGGGCACCCTGCGGGGACCCCCAAAAGCTCGGGTCTGGGGGGGGGGCCTGGGGCGGGGGGGGGGACCTAGCCCGGCCCAGACAGCTTCGTTTTTCAAGTTTTAGGGTCGGGCTTAACTAGGTCCAGACAGCTTCGTTTTTGGGGGGGGGGGGGCTTAGCTCAGCCCAGACAGTTGTTTTAGGGTGTTTAGTTCGGCCCAGACAGCTTCGTTTTGGGGGGGGGCTTAGCTGGGCCCAGACAGTTGTTTTAGGGTGTTTAGCTCAGCCCAGACAGTTGTTTTAGGGTGTTTAGTTCGGCCCAGACAGCTTAGTTTTGGGGGGCTTGTCTGGGTCCAAACAGCTTAGTTTTGGGGGGCTTGGCTGGGTCCAAACAGCTTAGTTTTGGGGGATTTAGCTGGGCTCAGGTTAGTTTTGGGGTTAGCCCGGCCCAAACAGCTTCGTTTTTGGGGGGAGGGGCTTAGCTGGGCCTAGACAGCTTAGTTTGGGGGGGCTCTGCTCAGCCCAGACAGTTGTTTTAGGGTGTTTAGTTCGGCCCAGACAGTTGTTTTAGGGTGTTTAGTTCGGCCCAGACAGTTGTTTTAGGGTGTTTAGTTCGGCCCAGACAGTTTAGCTTTGGAGAGCTTAACTCGGCCCAGACAGTTTAGTTTTGGGGTGAACTTAACTGGGCCCAGACAGTTTAGATTTTTTGGGGGGGAGGGTGCTTAGCTGAGCCTTGACAGTTTGAGAATACATAATTTAATTGGGGAGGGCTTACCCTGGACCCAGACAGCCCCCCCTCCCATGTTTACTTCTTTGAGGGGGACTCCTGTTGATGACCTGGTGTGTGTGTGTGTGGGGGGGGGGTGTCCTCCCCTCCCCTCCCCACCCCCAGGTGCAGGTCTTCTGAGACCCACCTGAGGTGTTTCCAGAAACACCTGTTGGGTGACTGGGGGTGGGAAGTGTTTTCTGGTGTGTTAGGGGCGGGGCGTGGGGCAGGAATCTGGAAAGGGAAATTTTGTTTTTCACCTAAGCACATGCGATTGACAATGTCCTTTACCCACATGGATCCCTTGTTGCGCATGTCAGGCGATTGCATTCTACCACTTTCTAGAAGGGTCCTCATTGCTGTCTTCATCCTGGGGGATGGGGGGGAGCAGTAGTTAGGCAAGGGGGGCTCATGCTTGTAATCCTAGCTACTCGGGATGCTGAGATCTGAGGAGCAGGGTTCAAAGTCAGCCCGGAGAAGGGAAGTCCTGAGAGACTCTTACCTCTAATTAACCACCAAAAAGCCAGAAAGGGGAACTGTGGCTCCTAGGGTAGAGCCAATAGCCCTGAATACAAAAGCTTAGGGGCAATACCCAGGCCCTGAGTTCAAGCCCTTAGGACTGACACCAAAACAACCCAACACACACTTGTGGAGCAGCCACATTTTCTCTGTTCCTCTGCTGTTCTTAACCACCACCAGGGCTTTTTATAGGGAGAGGATCAGGATTTAGTCTGTCACTGCCCTCCTCCTCCTGCTGTAGGTCTTGTAGTTTCCTGCTGCCTACTTAATTCTTCTGCCATCTGCTTAATGCTGGGGTGGGGGTGGGGGGTTGAGGGGTGGCGGGTTGAGGGGTGGCAGGGCGAGCTATTCAATTGTCTTTCAGCTTCCATTGTCCCCACCTTGCTGAACTGGACCCTGTTGAGTGATTAGCTCTTGACCAGACCATCTTCCCAGCCCGACCAGAAGGTCACACCTAGGTTTTAGCTTGGACTCACGGCCTGAGCACCGTCCCTTAGCTTTCTCTAGCTCTCGGCCTCCAGAACCAGCTCCACTTCCAGTTTAGTGTTGTTAATTGGAGATAAGAGTTATCTCAGATTTTCCTGCTGGCTCTTTGGCGGTTAATTGGAGGTAAGATTCTCCTGAACTCTCCTGCCCTGGCCGGCTTCAAACTGATCCTCAAGTCGCCTGATCCTCAAGTCGCAGCCTCCTGAATAGCTAGGATTACACGTGGCCCAGCGGATACCTCTGTTCTTACAACGTGGAATGCCCCAAAGTAGTTGCGGGCCATGGTTATTGTCACCCTGGAAATAAGAGCTAGTTGTCACCTTGGTGGCTCTCTGCTTCTTTTATTAGAAAGATCTGAAAATAAAGTTTATCTGCTTAGGTTAAAGGTGTTCATCTTTGGGTAACACTTGCATTTCTATTTATTTTTAAGTGATCTCAATAGTTTATTAAGAAAATAGGTAAAACGGGCTGGGAAGGTGGCTCAGTGGTAGAGCGCTTGCCTTGCATGCATGAGGGCCCTGGGTTTGAATCCTCAGCACCACGTAAGCAGAAAAAGCCGGAAGTGGCCCTGTGCCTCAAGTGGTAGAGCGCTAGCCTTGAGCTGAATTGCTGAGGGACAGCGCCCAGGCCCAGAGTTTAAGCCCCACAACCGACCAAAAAACAAAAAAGAAAAAAGAAAAAAAATAGGTAAAACATATGGAATTGTATAGTGACCATCCATATACTCTTTGTTTTTCCTTCCTCAGTACTGGGGTTTGAACTCAGGACCTGCTTGCAAGGCTGGTACCCTACCACTTGAACCACATCTCCAGCCCTGTTTTTTGGCTAGTTATTTTGGAGATAACATCTCGGGAATTTTTCTAATCTTTTTTTTTTTTTTTTTGTCGGTCGTGGGGCTTGAACTCTGGGCCTGGGCGCTGTTCCTCAGCTCTTCAGCTCAAGGCGAGCGCTCTACCACTTGAGCTACAGCGCCACTTCCGGTTTTCTGGTGGTTTATTGGAGATAGGAGTCTCACGGTCTCTCCTGCCCGGGCTGGCTTTGAACCGCGATCCTCAGATCTCAGCCTCCTGAGTAGCTAGGATTACAGGCGTGAGCCACCAGCGCCCGGCGAATTTTTCTAATCTTGAACTACAGCCCTCCTTTCTCTCATCTTCTTGACTAGCTTAAGATTATAGACGAAGTCCACGGGTGCCCTGTCCACTTTTAATCTTGGACAAATAACGTATCCTTGGCATTTGCTTTAGAAATTAGTTATGACCTCGGGCAAGGATCCTGTCACTGTTCCTGTGCCCTTGGGGCTGGGTTTGGGGAACCAGTGGGGCTCTGGAGTCTAGGTTTTTACCCTGGCTGGCCCTCAGAAGATATTTGTGATGAGAGGAACAACCTGGAATGAAAGCCAGCAGCAGGTGGTTTTGACTAACATTAGTCATTAGTGCTGTGGGCCGCCACATCTAACGAATAAGAGTTAGGGACTCAGTCCTGGCTTTTCCTTTACCAGCACCATTTGGCTGAGGAGTAACCTGTGTTTTCTAGACTTGGGTAAGTCAAGATCAAAGCTGCTTTTGACGTGAGGCCAGGGAAGCATGTCACGTGGCTGTGGTCTCTTGTTGGGAACCACAAGTGGAAGTGGGTGTGGAACCAAGTTCCCCCAAAACAGCCCTAGGCAGCAGGTTGAGCCCCGAAAGTGTAATCTGGAATCTCAGGAGGCATCTGGGCGCGGATTCTGTTCCTGTTTGACCTCTGCTCACAGCCGCTTAGGCCCTTGACCATCCCGGAATAGTATTTGAGCCTCAGTTGGAACAATTACTATAGTAGGAATTAAAATGTTGCAAACAATGGCTAGCCTGTTGCTACAGTTTGAGAAATTGGGTGGTACAGAGTCTTGTTGGTTTTTGCAGTACTAACATTTGAACCAACTCAGGGTCTTGTGCTAGCTAGAGACAGGTACTCTACCATTTAAGTTAGGCCTCCAGCCTCCTTTTGTTTTTATTATTATTGTTGTTGTTGTTATTAGTGCTTGCACTCAGCGCATGGATGCTATCCCTAAACTTTTTTCTTTCTTTTTTTTTTGCTTACTCTACCACTTGAGCCACAGCTCCACATTCGGCTTTTTTGGTGGTTAAGTGGAGATAGAAGTCTCACTTTTCTACACAGGCTGGCCTCGAACCATGGATCCTCCTTGAGTCGGATTACAGGCATGAGCCACCAGTGCCTGGCTGCTTTAACGTCACATAGGGCCTGGTCTGGGAACACGATCCTTCTACCTGTGCCTCTCATGTAGTTGGGGTCACAGCCATGCGCACCCCCTCATCCAGTTTGTGAGGGTGGAGTTTCACTAACTTTTTTTCCCCCCAGAAGGATGTCCTGAACTCTGGATCCTCTTGGTTTTCTGCCTCCTGAGTAGCTAGGATGATAGATGTGAGCTATTATACCCGGCCTGGTTTTTGGATGTATCCCTAAGAATGGCTGAATAATCAGTACCAATCGGGGAACGACTGGAAGAGGAAGAGGGCAGAGGCTGCTCATCGGGGCTGGAGAAAGTGCGTCCCCTGCCCCTCGATTTGGAGCCACTTACCCCGCTGGTCCTTCCTGTGTGTGTCGGTCTCCCGTGACATTTGGGCTAGATCCAGAGTACAAAGACAAGGAGGTCTATACATCCGCGTAGCTCTGAGGAAAGACTTTTTAAAGAGATGATGAGGTTTGGTTACAACACAGGGGCCTTGTGCTTGGCTCCAGGCTGGTATAGCTCACCCTCTAGGATACTTGCACCTTTTGACAAGGGGTAGGAAGTTGAGTTAAGGCTGTGTGTGTGTGTGTAGCATCCAGGAAATCTTGGATTAAAAAGCATCCTAAGCAAACCCTCAGCATGCATACAAGGGACTGCAGGCTAAACTCCAGGGGGGAGGTTTAAAATAGAGCTGGAAAAAAAACCGAGCACCCGGCTGCTCACCCCTATAATCTAGGGGTGAGAATCACAGTTCAAAGCTAGCCCGGGTAGGAAAGTCTATGAGACT